GGCCCCGTGCCCACCTGGCGGATGCCGATGGTGGTGGCGATGCCCGGGCGGATGTGGAAGCCCTCGTGCTCCAGGAACGGGGTCTGGTTGTGGCTGTGGATCATCACCTTCACCCCGGCCACCGTGGACAGCAGCGGGAGGTGCTCCTTCTGCTCGGCCCGCAGGATCAGGGACAGCCCTGGGGACACACAGGGGCTTTAGGGACAGCTGGAGGGCCCAGCACTGGGCAAATCCCTCCTGTTGGGGTCCCAGATTTGGGTTCTGGGATCCCTCAGTTTGGATCCCAGAAAAGCCATTTTTAATCCTCAGAGCCCAGGTGAAAATGGCAGCTATTCCGAGTTTCCATATTAAATAAAAAATAATAATAACCCTATAAATAAAACCCAACAAATCCAGATTTGGATTCTGGGAGCCCTCAAGAGCCATTTTTGTTCCTCAGAGCCCTGGTGATAATGGCACCTATTGCAAACCCTCAATAATCCCATAATAAATGATAAAAACCCTATAAATAAAACTCAATAAACCCCCAAAAATACAGTGTGCAATATACACTGTAAGAACATCCTGCTCCAAACAAACAAAAAATAAATTCTGCTTTTTTAAGCCCAGATGCTGCTGGGGCTTAAAATAATAATATTGTGGTGGCACATGTTTGTGCCACAAGAGATGCCAAAATTTATCACTAAATCCTGCACTGAGGACAAATTTAATGAATTCTCTTAATTTTAGCTCTTTTTCCCCATTTTGCAGATGACTCACCATAAGGAATTCCTGGTTTTGTGGCTGCCCAGAAAGGATCTGTCCCCTTGCTGTTATAAGTGTAGCAGCTCCCAAAAACTGGGTGGTGGAAGTGAACGTGATCACTGGAAAATCAGAGATTTGATGAGGTTTAATTAATTGATTTATTACCTTAATTCAAAGCTGCGTGTGTTGGGAAAATGGGAATCACTGGAAAATCAAGAGAGATTTGATGGGATTTTACTGTAAAGTCAAGAGAGATTTGATGGGATTTAATTATTTGATTTATTACTGTAATTTAAAGCTGGATGTGTTTGGGAAAACAGGAATCACTGGAAAGTCAAGAGAGATTTGATGGGGTTTTAATGGAAAATCAAGAGAAATTTAATGGGGTTTTAATTACAAGTGTGACACCACCGAAGTTCCAAGCTGAATGTGTTTGGGACAGGGGGAAGGAACTTGGGACAGGGACAGCCCCAATTTCACAGAATTCTCAGAATCCCCAGGTTGGAAGAGCCCTTCAAGACCATGGACCCAGCCCCTCAGCTCCCCCCTGGCACCCAGTGCCTCACCCAGGCTCTGTCACCCACACCCAGGGATGGGGGCTGCATCCCCTCCCCGGGCAGCCACTCCAGCACTTTATCCCCTCTCCATAAAACCCCCTTTCCCCACACCCAGCCCGAACTCCCTGGGTGCCAGCTGAGGCTCTGTGTCCCCCCTGCACCCACCTGGGCCTGCAGGGCTCCCCATCGTACTGGCAGGAGTAGACCAGGTCCTGGAAGTGCTGCTGGTGCTGGGGCAGCCCCGGGGGCAGCTGGGCCATCACGTTCATGTAGTGGAAGCGGAACCACTCGAGCAGCGCGTCCATGCCCGACGGGTGAGAGGTGTAGAAGCAATTCCCACCTGTGGAGTTGCACTGGGACACAGGGAAAGGGGGTAGGGTCTGTTATTAGTGTGGGAATCGTTAGTATTATGTGATATTAATTATGTTCTATTATGTTATATATATTATTATATTATATGGGAACTGTTATTATACCCATAATAGTAATAGCTTATTACCATAATCTATTACTATTATGAGAGTTACTATTAGATTATAATAACTATTCTATTCTAATAACTATTAGATTGTAATAACTTTCTATTCTCTATTAATATATTAATTTATAATACATGAAATGTATTATTATATATAATTTTAATATATTCTATAATTGATATGAATTATCTATCAAAGTCTATAAATATCCATATAATATATATAATAGTATATAATGTATATATTATTTTAATACATAATTTATATATTCATAATTATTGTATTATATGGGAACTATTATTATTCCCATAATAGTAATGGATTATTTTTGTGTAAATCCCATCCAGGTATTTTGGGGTGAATCCCCATCCAAATCCCCAGGTGTTTTGGGGTGAATCCCCAGTTCCTTTGGGGTGAATCCCCAGTTTCTCTGGGGCGCACCCCACCCTGAGGTGCCCCGCTCCCGCTCTGTGCCGCTCACCAGCCGGAATCCCACTCTGGAGTGTTTCTCGCCTGCGCTGGGGTCCCACATCCTGACCAGGGAGAAGTTGTGGCTGAGCCTGAAGCCGGCGCTGCTGAGGTTGGCCCAGGCCTGGACCCGGATGGCCCCGTCCTTGTCGCGGTCCCTGTTCCTGTCCCTCAGCTGGGACAGCCTGGCCGAGGCCTTGGGGCCGTACAGGAAGGCCAGCGACTCCTCGGCCATGCGCTCCAGCTGCTCCAGCTGCTCGCTGACCAGCTCAAACCTGCAGGGATTGGGAGAAAATTCCACATTTTGGAAAAAATTCCAGATTTCTGATCTCCAAGCTCCATGGAAAGGTTATATCTTGAGATCTGTGGGAGAATATCCAGAAATTCTGCTGCTCAGCACACCTAAATCTGATAACTTTATTTAGTATTTAATTTATTAATAATCTTTATTAATAATATTAATTTAATATTTAAATTATTAGTTATATTTATTAATAATAACGTTCTGTGTCCCTCCTGGGGGAGGAATCCCTGACCCTTCCCAAACCTTTGGGACCATCCAGGTGTGCTGGGATGGCACATGGGGATGGCTGTGGGATGCATGCAGGGGGTTCTTGACTCTTCCCAAACCTTCAGGGACACATCCCTGCCCATTCCAAAACCCTTAGGACACATCCCAGACCCTTCCAAACCTTCAGGACACATCCCAGACCCTTCCAAACCTTCAGGACACATCCCAGACCCTTCCAAACCTTCAGGACACATCCCTGCCCATTCCCAAACCTTCAGGACACATCCCTGCCCATTCCCAAACCTTGAGGGACGCCTCCCAGACCCTTCCAAACCTTCAGGACACATCCCTGCCCATTCCCAAACCTTCAGGACACATCCCTGCCCATTCCCAAACCTTCAGGACACATCCCTGCCCATTCCCAAACCTTGAGGGACGCCTCCCAGACCACTGCCAAGGCTCAGCTCACCGGGAGGGATCCAGGTTGCAGATGGTGACGGCCGGGAACATTTTGGGCTCGGAGTCCATGGACATGGTGAGCACCACGGGGTAGGCCCAGAACTGGCTGAACATGAGGGCGAACTGCCAGTAGAGCATGCCCAGGCTGGCCAGCAGCAGCAGCGTCCAGAACGCCGTCTTCATGCGGTTCCTGCCCGAGCACACCAGGCGGATGGTGCCGTGGATCGTCGTGTTCTTGCAGAAGAACTCAAACATCTCCTTGAAGGAGCCGTAGAACTCGATCAGCCCTTCCTCTGCTGCTTCTCCTCCTCCTTCTCCTTCGGGAAGCTCTGGTTCCATCATCTAAGTGGCTTTCTGGGCATGGAGAATGAGGGAAAATCGTATTAATGTGAGGGAAAGGCTCTTCCAAAAAGGCTTTTTCAAACAGGCTTTGTCCAAAGGGGCGTTTTCCAAAGAGGGTTTTTCCAAAGAAACCTTTTCCAAACAGGTTTCTCCCAAATGGGCTTTTCCAAAGAGGCCTTTTCCAAATAGTTTTTTTTCCAAAGTTTCCTCTTCCAAAGAAACCTTTTCCAAGCAGGACCCAAACGAGTTTGTAATTAGGAAAACCTGACAATAAAATTGCAGAGAATGTGAATCCAGGGAGATCCCCCAGGATCTGGATCCTGGAAGGAGCAAAGAACCCAAATTCTGCTGCTGCTGAGGGATTCTGAGGAGCTTTTCCACATTTCCAGAGGATTTCCTTGCCAAGGTGGATTTGGGAAGTTTGAGGCCAAAAAAGGTGAGGAATTTCCTTCTTTCCAAGAACTGCAAGGAGCAGGGTTTGATCCTGAATTATCAACTCATTGTGGGTCCACACAGATTTGTAATTCATGATGAGAGGAATAATTCTAGTGGAATATTCTGGTTTAATCATTATTATTTATTATGTTATTTTATATATTATTTATTATTTATTTATATATTTATTTTTATATATTATTTATTATATCTATTATTTATTATATTATTACTTCTTATTTATTCTTGTTTTATGGGCCTAAAACAAGACTGGCTCAAAACCACTATGGCTTCATCTTTATGGCAAAGAATTAGGGAAAAATTCAACTTTCAGCTGGTTGAATTAGAAAATTAGAAGCTGGTTTTAATTTTTGCTGTAGGATCTCATTCTGCAGAGTAAAAAGGATGAATTTCTCTCTGAACTCTGCTCCAAGATGAAATTCAGGAGGCACAGGCAGGTATTTTGGGATGGAAATGAAGAAAAACCTCAGTTGGAAGCACAGAAGGGATGGGCTAAATTAGGGTGTGGAGAAAGAATTTAATTCAAAAATTGTAGAAACCACTGGAAATAAAATAAAAACGCCCTCAGGGTGTTTCTTCAAGACCAGCAAAATATTAATTAAATAATATTATATTATTGATATTAATTAACGTTATTAGCAGTGATTTTGCCACGTAAATAGGAATTTAGGTATTTGTATTTTACAGCATTGAAAATAAATGGAAAAGAAATTGAAAAACACTCACAAGAGCGGCATAAATACAACTAAAAACCCAGATATTTTTATTATTATTTCTCCCAGCAATTAAAACATCTCCTGTGCTATTCCAGGGATAATTCCAGCGTTTCTGAGCGTGGAAAACTGGCTCTGGTGGCAGTTTGGGACAGCACAGTGACACCGGGACATTTCCGTGTCCTGAAGATGACAAGGTGAGAATTTCCAACATGACAGCAGCCCGTGAATCACCCTGCTCATTATGTCATTAAAAGGAGTTTACTGAGTCCAAACTTTGGGACAACCTTTGCTCCAAATAAAATAAATAAAATAAAAATTAAAATAAATCAATAAAAATACAGGGATAGAGGTTGAAATTGAGGAGAGAAGAAGCAGCTAAAGGATTGTTGGGAGGGGTTCTGTGATGGAAGTAATGAAATTAATTTGATTTAATTCAATGAAATTAAAGATTTAAGTCTTTAGCCACGAGGAAATGTGGAATTAAAAAAAAAAATAATGACCTAAAATGAATGCTAAAAGAATCTAGTCCTTGCTCATCAGGAAATGTGAAATAAAAGGAATAATTACCCAAAATGAATGCTAAAAGAATCTAGTCCTTGCTCATGAGGAAATGTGGGAAAAGGGCAATGATTACCCAAAACGAATTCTTAAAGAATTTATCAAACAGATTTTTTAAATCTAATTTTGACTATAAAAACCCCCAGACAAAGCCTGGTTTTCAGAGTTAATTCAGATAATTTTCAGCTGTTCTGAGTGGGATTTTAAGTTTATGGCAAATTCATCCTGTTTAAATCTGCTTTGCTAAAATGATTCCTTCTAAAAATTTAATAAAGCAAAATAATTCAGAACCGGTCTGGAAAAATAGAACAACCCAAGATTTATAGCTACAAATACAAAAATACACATTAAAAAATGTAATTATAACCGAGTTCCAGCCCCCTCCCCACGGTACCTTGGCAGAAACTCTGATCTGTGAGCGTTTAGAGAAGCCACTAAACCCAGCCCTGGGCTTAACCCTGAGCAGAGTCAGGGGCTGGCCCAAAGCTGTGGGATTTGGGAGGCCCTGGAGCTGTCCAGCCTTTATGGAGGGAAGGGATGACATCAAAGGGGCAGGACTGGAGGAAGAGATGATGGAAATTATTCAAAGCATGATCCAGGGAATAATAGGAAGTGAATAAACTGGACAGACAGGTTAACGTGGAGCTTACACCGGAGTTAAGCTGGGTTTAAGGGCTGCTGGCGTGTTCACCTCGATTTCTTTTCCCCCTCATGATCAGAGTCATCGTTTTTAGGGAAATAACCGTGGGTTCCAGAATGTTCTTCCTGCTCTGGATTTCCCATCTTTGCTCTTCCTGCTCTGGATTTCCCATCTTTGCTCTTCCCACTCTGGATTTTCCCATCTTTGTTCTTCCCACTCTGGATTTTCCCATCTTTGCTCTTCCCACTCTGGATTTTCCCATCTTTGCTCTTCCCGCTCTGGATTTTCCCATTTATGGAGGACCTTCCTGCCTTCTTTCCCTGTTTTGCAGAGCCTGGCAGGATCCCAGGGAATTGGAGCCCTCAAGCCTTGAGGAATTGCATTCCTTGGTGGAATCAATGTGGATTTCCTCCTGCTCCTTCAGGAATATCCCAATTCCAATCCAATCCCATCTCAATTCCCATTCCAATTCCATCCCAATCCAATCCCATCCCGTCCCATCCCCATCCAGGATTCAGGTGCTGAGACGGAACCAGAACCAAACCAACCCCGTTCAAATCAGGTTTTGGGTTAAAGAGTGGCAGAAATGAGGGAGAAATGGATTTGGGGCACCAAGGAGAACTTCCATGATTATTTTTTATTCTTTTCCATATGGAAACCAGCTCTGCAGGAAGTTTTTTAATGTGAAAATGGGAATATTTGGGGTCCAGATAAATTTAGACCCTGCCTTTCCAAATTGGATTTTCTCTCCCACTGGAAGGTGTGAAATATCAGTGTTTGCAAAAAAAAAAAAAAAATTTAAATTTCTTGTGAAATTTGATTCAGAAAGAAGGGAGAAAGGACAAAGGTGAAAGGAAAGAAACTCTCCTGATTTTGATTGATTTCAATCCTACTTACACTTGATTTATGCTGGACTTTGTTCCAGATAATAATTACCCAGTGCAGGGCCAAGGACAGAGTTTGCACAGTTCATACATAAAAACTTCCAAGAAAAATGGTAAAATTCCTACATTTTCTTTACCTCTGCATCCTTTATCAATGAAATTGGATGTGATTCCATGAAAATCAACAAATTAAAAACAAAAATTAAAATAAAAAGGAACCTTCTGGCCACGTCCCCAATTGCTGCTCCTCAGGACACACAGAACATTTTCTCCTTCCCTCCCTCCCAACCCTAATCAACATTTCCTTACTCAGAATTTTTAATTACAGCCCTGCAACCCCCCAGGACTTTCTCAGGGCTCTTATCTCCACAATCTCTGCATTTTGAAACAAAAAAAAAAAAAATCACATTTTTAAGCAGTAAAGGAGTTTTTTTCCCCCACATTTCTCCCAGTTCAGGATCCACAAAAATGCCCCAACAAAACCAGGAGATTTTCTCAGTGATGCTGATCCAGATTTTTTCCTTATTTTCCAAGAAAAAAATTCCTGAAGGGAATTTTGCAGGGGTTTTTTGTGAGGCAGCAGGACAACAATGTTATGCTCTGGTGGCTGCTCCTTGTGCAATAATTGCATTGTCAGGGATTGATTGTTGCATTTTCCATTGCACAACCCGGGGTGAGGAGAGACACGAACGTGACAGAACAAGGTTCCCAAAGCTGGGAGGTTTTTTATGAGATTTTAGCTAATTAACTCTTCACCTGACTCTGCTAAAACTCGTCATTCAATTTGATTTCTTTTTAAATTAAAAATTAAAATTATTTTTAAAAATTTTTAAATTACAATTTTTAATTAAAATTTCTGAAATAATGGGGGGGGGGTTAACTTAAACAAGGTTCTGGATATGTTTTGTGAAATTTCCTTTTAATATTAAAGAGGGGTAGAACAGACTGAGAGCAATTAGTTATTGATTATTATCCTGGTTAATAGGATTTGAATCTCTTAAATAATTGTAAAATTTAAGAGGAATAAACCATGTCTCATCTTCATTCTTTCCACTCTGGATTGCCAGGGGAAATTCAGGTGTGCAGAGCTCCAGGAGAGCAGGAGAACATCCAGAAACAGGAGGAATTCAGCACAAA